CAAAAAGCCTATATTCATCAAAATCGGTTAACAAATGTGGAAATTATAAGCGAAAAACAAAATGGGACATATGTGTCCCAAAGGTCGTCAAAGGGTTAAACGATGTGCTTACTTTAGTGCATGTGAACACACGACGACGCCACTACATTACCATTATTATTATGAGCCACACGTACGTATTTATGCGGTGTACAGAGAATCGCTTCACTGAAATTCGAAGCACACGGCGCTTGCTTTGCCATATGATGACATTTCACACTATAACTACGATGCGAACGGCGGCAAAAACATCGATACGACGCATTCACGGTAAATATTGTCCATTCCGCTAAAATATCCATTTAAAATGAGTGGCAAACAGGTTGTACTTTTCTCACTCGTTCACTCGCACGCTCTAGCCAATCCATAAGAAAACATGTGCGGTGAGTAGAAGATTTTGCAAAATCCATTGTGCATAATTTTGTTTTCCATTCACTGAACATTCGAATTTGAAATGCGCTCAAATCGAGATTTTTGTGCTGCTCCTGCTGCTTCTACTGTCGCTTTTCTTCTCTGTCCCCTGCCGTGTATTCAGTATCTCCCGTGGCACTTTTGCTACTTTGTGTGTCCCGTACATAGAGAAACGTCGTTTGAATGTGAGAAATACTCGACATTTTCCTGCTCAAAGCTATGATTCTAGCGTGCATACGGAAGCGCTTTTCTATTTACATAATTTAATTTTCATTGTTGGATCCTCTACTTTAGATAGCCATACGCGGCTGAAAAAAAATGCTATCTCATTTTCTAGTTCCCATTTTTTATCAGGTCAGGTGCATGTGTGTGTGTGTGTGTGTGTGTGTGCATTGTGCACTGTACAAATGTTCATTTCGTTTGGTGTTCGAGGAAAAAAGTGAGCTGTGCTCTAGCCTTCCGGTAATCTTAATTGGGACGAATGGTTGAAAAATTCAACCGAAAATTGAATGGAATGAATGCCACTAACTGTTTTCTTTTTAATATTGAAACCATTTTTTGCGCTTCCAAATTTCAGGCAAAAGTATTTCCATCGACCAGTTGCCATTCAATAAGAAGCAGTTTTTAGTGAAAGCTTTCAATGGCATACAAACAATCAATTCAATACCTGAACCCTTACCATATGGAATTAGCAAAATCATTTCCGGTTCTTCTATCCGGGCAAAGTCTTTTAGTTCGATGAGTAAGAGTGGCCACTGGCCACACACACTGAACCCGAAAAACTTTATCGATGTTTTCAATATTTATGCATTATGCAATCGATGATCAACATGAATATAATTGAAATTGGATCACTTTTGAAAATTGGATGGCACTGCCAATTGAAACGCACGTGCCAATCATCTCTATCGATAAAGTGTATTTGGAATTTTAGTTACTCTTCCCAAATCAGAGTACTCTCTATCTAAATCAGTTTCTCTTGTAAATGTCGACAGTTGTCACAAATTGGATTACAATCTACAATGATTCCGATCGATTCGGGGAAGAGGAGGAGGAGGAGGAGGAGTTTAATTTCAATGTTTCAATTTGGATGTGCAATTGTTATTTGCTTTGTTTGCTACAATTTAAATACGTGCTATACTAGCACGATACTCGTATTTGTACATGGTAAAATATAAAATACATGCAACAAAACAACAGTGGTTTGATTGATATATACGATGAGTTCTGGTACACTCACTCACAAACGAAAAGTAACATATTTCGATAACAAACTGAATATCAATGATATATATTGTACAAGTACGCCTACGCTATACACAACAGCTCATTATTTATTCAATGCCATAGATTATAGAATTTTTTTTCGGTCTACTAGAAAATCTCACCTAGTGCAGTTTTTTTTTTCTTTTTCCTTCTTTCATTCTCTTTTTCCATTTTTTTTTCGAAATCCTCGGTGCGTACGTACTGGCACATAATTGATTTTACGCAGTCTCGTTTTGAGCAAAATTTTGAAAGAAAAAACAACAACAACAACAGTGACAGAAAATGCTTTTTACCCAAAAATGAAAAATATGTTTCAAGCTAATATGTGAGCTTCATATTTAACAATATGAACAGTTCACTCAAAACAATTCAATTTGGTTGCATATATTTTGTCGATGAAGCGTTCGGCTCGAGAATGAGCATAAACAGCAGGTTTCGAGCAAAATGAATATCCGGCCCAAGTCACAGGACACACATAATTCCAACGGTATACACCAATGTTCGATGTTTTTTTTTAGTTCGTTCTTTTGGCAACAGAAACCACGGGATGGATAAAAATGTATAGTGGTAACAATGTATTTGTTGTACCGTGACTATGTATGCTCTTGACATTTTTCCTGGGCAAAATAGTGCAGCAAAACATTTTGGCGTTTCAAACAATTTATGAAATATTCGTGTATAGGCGAAGTGAGAAGGCAGCGCAAAAAAAGAGAGCAATAACAAGCGACAAGGAGACGTTGTTCATATGAAATTATGTGTTGTGTGGGTATAGGTAAAGTTATCGAACCAATGTAATATAGGCGTCCTGCTTTGCACCATATCTTGTTAGCTATATGGCCATAATATACAAACGCTTTCAACTTCATTAGAAAAAAGACTGTTCCACACAAGCCGAGAGCCGAATGACTGCAATAAATGTATTAAAAATTCAGTTGAGCTATGTTGAAGCCCGGCAAAAAGCATATTCTGCTTAACTTTGGCAACCTCTTCTTTTGTGCCTCTACACATTGCCTTGCAAAAAGAACGCATCACATTTGTCACACACTCACATCGATATGAAATGCTATAGGGGTTTCTGCATTTCCCGCAAGCGGTGGAAAAAGTATTGGTTTCGATGTTTTTTCCCTTCGAGACTATCGTTCTGTCATTATTTTGCTTTTTGATGTTAAATTGACACTTTGAATGTAAACGACTTTTGGAAATGATGCGCATTGAAGGTAAATCACCTAAGGTCGAGAACAATCATTCAAAGAAGTCAAATTCTCAGAAATGTTTGGTCAATTCTGTGTGGGTGATGGGCACGAATAAAGTGCAGATCACGCCGTTGACACGTTTCATTGTTTATCAATATTTCATGCAACAAAAGTTTAATGAAATTTATATTGAAAATCCATCCAAAAAAAAAGTTCGTCAAACTAAAGTAAAATTATTTACCAATCACTAGGCATCACTTCGATCACATTTCTCACGATCCGTATTGAACGAACGATGCGATGAATATGCATAATTCATTGGGGACTAACGGAAAAAATAAATGTTACATGAAATCAAATTTATTTGAAGGTTGAAAGCTGAATTCCAAAAATAGACCAATTTTTTTGCTCAGAAGAGACATTGAGAACAGAATTGAGATAGGGCCAGGGAGGCGCTTGTGTGGTTGGCACAGAGAGAGAGAGAGAGAGAGAGAGAGAGTGGCCAGAGAAATGTGAAATACGGATGGTGATAATGGGCCACGTGTTCAATTTAAACTTTTCGATGTGCTGATACTACATTGATCGACGTGGTACAAGGCTACCCAAGTTGACACTTTCAAAATGAAACAAACACACGGCATCAATAAAAGTTTCAATAAAAAAACACCAGACGCACTTATACGAATCGAATTCTGGCAAAATGCGATTTTCAATGCTTATTTTTTTTTCATTCGAATTTTTTTCCACTCGCCGTCAGCAAGCATAAAAAAGCACATAATACTCTCAAAGCGACAACTTAAAATGTTGAAAAAAAGCGTGGAAGCGTTAAAATGTTCATGCCATTACCATATCTCCAACGAAAGAAGATACAACAACATAAACAAAAAATACTAATCTTCTTAAAATATTTTGCACCATACTCGCCCACGCCTGCACGCACTCTCTCTCTCTCTCTCTTACCGATTCCAATCATTTTCCAATCATAGCATCTCATTTGAAAAATAACAAGCATGCAACAAAAATTATCGCGATTTTAACAACGTCTTCAAACGACTTGGTCTTTAATCGCGTTGTTAGGCATTACATGCATATTGGGGCAATTCGAATACGAACAAAAACGAATGTCCCAAGGTTTTTATTTATTTGACGCGTAAAACATCCCAGTATTATATGCGGAATTATACCCACGAATTAAATGCGCTAAGCTTTCGATTTGATCCGAAATAATGGCAATAAATTTAGAAACACTTCAACTGGAATTGAAATACGAAACATATGAAAAAAAAATTCCATTCTAATTTATATGGATTCATTGAAATTGAAAGAAAAAACCTTTTTTTCCGACTTCGATCGAATTTGAACTTCCGCAAAACTGTTTTTTTTTTCTCCAATAAAATTATGAGTACCAAAAATGGAAACGCGAAAGGAATCTATTTTAATTTCGTGTGATGCATTAAGAAATAAGCTGCTTCATCTGAGTTTGTACACGAAAATCCATCATAATAATGAAGGCTTTGACGTGTACATTTCACAGGCGAAGTTAATCGATATTGCTGGCGCAAGCAGAAGGAAACAAAAGCAGACGACAGTGATGGATTTTACATTTTCAACTTATTTACGTTGTTGGTACTCATTAAAATTGATGGCAATGCGTAATTAAACAAGAAAAACATGAAAATAGATCACATTTTCAAAAATTATACCATCCGGAATTGTTAAGTATTGTAAAATGGCAAACATATTATGTATGCATACGAAAGATCATGGCGAGCATCTCATGTTCGCCGTTTGTCAAGTAAATTATGTAAGATTATAATTTGATAAATAATACGCGGATTGTGAGAATCGTTACACATCGGGGCTGGAGCGAAAGCTCAGTGTTTGGAACTTGTTTTCTTTTCTTCAACAGAATGAAACAACAAATGACGTGATTTAAAAGAATGAGTCTAGATTTTCATACTGATTACTGAACCAACCGAATTCTGTTCTATTCAAAGAAGGAGACCATTTCAATACATACCTATACTATTGCATTGAGCATGCTATTTCTTTTTCCATCATTAATTCCATTTTCTTTTTTTCTCCTTACAGACAAAATATTCCGTGGAATCGTTTGCATTCAAATCCATAAAATGGATCGGCCGATGTGACAAAATGTAGGCGAACGGTCCGAATCGGATTATTTTTTTTTAAGTTGATAATCATCTTGGTCTATTTTTTCAAGCCAATTTATTAAGTACGTATCGATTTTTCACATACTTTCTATTTTCATTAAATTATTCTTTCGAGTATTAGAGGTTGTTGTGTTCGGTTCGAACAGCATAATTCGGGACAACATTGTGATTTTATATAGTTACTTTGTTCATTTAAATAATTGCAAATCGCGTTTACGATAAAAGGAGTTTTTAAGTGAAACAACATTCGGTTTAAGTAGAAACTCAATTAATTTGCATTTCCGCATCGATTCCATGTTGAATCGACATAATTGTTTTTAGTGTACGTGACGATTGAACTATCGAGAACAATTTAAAAAAATAAAACAAACAATCTTCGAATAAAAGGTTAGCGGTAATAAACAATAGATAAAATATATATTGCGAGAAAAACGGGATAAAACACCAGGCATAACGAAAGTTGTGGTTGATTTGACGCATGACAGACGGAAAATTGAGCGTGCAATCTAATTTTTGCTGTGTGTACAACCTGAAGCCCGTCGCAATGAATCGAGTGGGCCAGGAATGTACGTAATATTTCCAGCTGATGAATTAATATATATGACATACGGTGCTGCAATACCACGATTCAAACCACGACCAACTCTGGATAACTTGCGCGAGCCATTAGTCCCTTTTGATACCTTACCCAACCACAAAACATCCCAAAACCCATCCAATCGCCAATCCTATCCTCAAAACTCCAATGCGAGCAACGAACAAAAGCTACAAAAACAACGACAGCAACAACAACAGCAGCAAAAACAGCAAAAACCAAGCAACCCTAAGCCAGAGCCGAAGCCGAAACCAGAGTCAAAGCCAAAGCCAGAGCAAAAACCAAGTAAAAAGAAGGAAAAAACTGATATTTTTGGCTACACCAGTCTTGATTCACGCGAACCATCAATCTATCCCGACGACGTGTATGTAAGCGGTGCCATAGCACAATCATCAAAGCGATCAACCGCCACCACCACCACCACCACCACCGCCACCACCTTCTCACTACCCAGTCCCAGTGCATCATCGTCATCAAGCGTTAAACAACCGCTACCACCACCGTCTCCAGCTCGCATTCAGCAAGCAATAACAACAAGCAACGGAAAGCCACCCGGAAAATCGAAAAGTCGACTGCACCTTGGTCTAGGCATATTTGGATCAAAACAACAAACAACACCCGAACCGGCCCGTTTACGTACGTACCACGAATTCCGTGTGTCAAATCCAACATTTACACGGGAAAATATATCGGCACGGAATTATGATGCGTTTTTCGAATCGGGCGAACCAGTGTATCGCCTTGAGCATCGAACACCGGTAATACCGCACGTCGAATCGGATCCATTCGATAGTGAAACCGCAAAGCGGCCTCATTCATTTGGTTTATTTTCGAAAATGTCAAAATCAAAGGAAACAACTGCCGCCGTCGCTGCCTCCGCCAAATTGAATGCTCGATCGCGTAGCAGCGATCCAATGAGCATGGTGTCCGAGAAAGGTGACAGGTGCCATTCTCTCAATGAATTTTATTTGGAATTTTTTTTTCTTTACTAACCATCAACGCACTCATTGAAGTGTGTGTCCGTCCACCACTAACTCTGCTCCAAATAAACCTCTTTTCAAGTTTGATGAAATGCAAATGTGTTGCTTGTTGTTTGTGGAAAAGCCCACTTTGTTGTTGGTTGCATGTGTGTGTGTGTGTGTGTTTGTGTGTGTGTGTGGTTCATCATTAGCTAACATTTTCTGCCCGTAAACACAATTAACTGATTTTGCTGTCCAATGTCAATAGCTCAATTTTGGTAAGATGTATGGTGGCCCGATGATTTCTCAGCTGAGATGACTTTGATGTTTTGTTCGAGCGCATTAGCTTGGTTTTTGGGCCCATTGGCTTTTTTGTTGTTTGTTGGTCAATCGACTCTTCGACCCAGACAATACACCTCAGCTATGTCACCTCACTATCCTTTTGATGTATATACGTACGTCTAAAGCCATGAAATGATGATAGAAAAGTTCGACATAGAATGAATGCGTCAACACGTCTAAATAGGCATTACCCTCGTTTGAATGAGCGTGACGAATAAGGTGTAAATAGTTGATAATCATTTATCAGTTTGCCACGCATATTCTATCCGCATTTTATTTCAATGGGGTCGGTTTTATGGTTTCGTCCATTTGGTTGTTGCAGCTGTGTTTATTTTTTGTTCGTGTGCCTGTAACACACAAACACACATATGTTGCATTTTCAAGCGATATTTCAAGTTAAAACCTGGAACTGACCATTCAATGTAATCGATATTATTTATTCGTTTCGAAGTTCCATATAATATGGGCCATATTATTGGAATGTTTTCGTCGTGGCCTAGTGTACTTTGGGGTTTTTCTCTGCTGACATGCGCCAGCGGAAAATGAAGGCAAATCCTATTAACGAACATTGATTCGTGTGAATTGAAGCACAAAGTCACCAGAGAGATAAAATAAACTACGATTGAGACTCATTCTCATTAGTTGTTTTGCTTTATTTCGACTTTGTATCGAAACATTGTGTTAGTAAAAAGACGATTTTACTGAGCATTCAACATTTAAACTTGATGCAATCCACCAATCAATGGTATTCGAGCCGATTAATATATATCGGAATATTCGCAAATAATTCATTGTCTCGTTTTATTTTCGTCGGAATACTCTGCTTCAAGTAAGAACCATAGAATGCACAGTTTCGTTTCACTTGAATTCGTATTTTGCGTTCAAAAAAACATTTGTTGATTCCATTTCCATGCTAAATGTGTGGATGCTGGTAAATTTAATCACTTGAAATTCATTGGTATCTACTTGCGTCTTTTTAGTTGCTTGTTCAATGGAGTACTATACACAAAAACGTACGCTGACAAAAAGAAAAAGAAAAACAACAAATTAAATGCGTTCTAGCTTTTGTGTGAAGCAGCACATATTTTGTTGGGGTTAGTGCTGTGTGTGATCCGACTGATGGAAATTTCAACTATGAAATTGGTTAGCCAGAATTGGTTGGGGTGACGGTAGATGGGAAGGAAGCGGTTAACACAAAGGTGAAAAGCTTTCGGTTCATGAATTATTGAGTTGGTTAAGCATAGCGCAATCTCATCCGACTATTTTTTTCTTCTCTTTCATTTCTCTTCTTCGTATTCGTTTTCTTTTCCATTCATTTATTAAGCATCAGAATTACTGCTGTGCTACAAAATGATGAAATTTCTTTTCACTTCGCTAACTCATGATGCACACAACGAACGAAACCATACACACACATGTCGTCTCAAAGTTGCTTTCGCCCAAATGAATTGCATTACTTCGTAAATATTAAATACTATTTGCTTTGCTCTCACACACACATACAACCAAGAGAATGCGAATTTGTTGATTATGCATTGAGAGAGAAATGGATTCCATATACATATACCAACCAGTTGGTTAGTAAATTCTTTGGCCATTTTACCCGGGATATTGTCTTCGAATGCATTGAATTTGATCCCTGGACTCATTTGAAATGCATTAAAACATTCTATTTTTGTTGTTGCGTGTGCGTGTTCGAATCGCATAATCAACATAGTAGTTACATTAATATTCTCCAACGGCAATAAACCCAGAAGAAGAAGAAGAAGAAGAAGAAGAAGAAAAAGAAGAACAAGCAGGAAAAAAAAACACAACCGAATCCAACAACAATGACGTCGATATAACATGTTGTAATATTAAAATTACAGAAATGATAAAAGAGCAGTTGAAATGCGTCTAAAATTAGAAAATAGAAATGAAGAAATAATCGTGCAACCGCATGCGGTTAAGTGACACACAGCGCCCAGGTGTACAGTGTGTGTACGCCAACGCATAAAAGTAATTGAAAAATGGCAACCAAAAAAGTATCTGTCTAACGAGACTGACTGATTGAGCGTTTGCAGACAGAAATACTGATAACGCGTGCAACGCATTGCATGCAACTTGGGATTTTGACACACACACACACATAAACAAACTCACATATCGGATGCACACGATGCATCGTGTATACATGCAGTAGCAATTGGGTGCTGTCCGTTGGACGAAGGGAAGAGGGTGTACGGAGACACATTGCATAGAAATAATGCATAGAGTGCATACAGCAAGAGTGCATAACGTATTAGTTTATGGTGTGCATCAATTATTCAAGTGGATGTCTGACGGTTTATTGGATTTTAAGTTATTTCGAACGACATGGTAATGCTTCATACTGAACAAATCCATTTGTTGTTTGAAGTCATCTTTGTCAATGCAGTTTATGGTGTTGCAGTTGGCCCATAACTATACCGTCATCTCATTGATTTGCAGTAACTTTTTGCCACTTGGAGGAATATCAAGCACAGTCTCGGAAAATTTTACTAGAACAATTTCTATCGAAACTTACACTGATAAAATGAAATCAATTGTTTTCGGGGAAATTTGTTGAAACGCCTTCGATGAGAGTTGAATTCAATTTGCTTCGATATTGCGTAGATATTTTCCACTTGCAGTCCGCCTATACTTGGCCAAATACGCAACTGTCAGCCCACCTTTTATTGCGAACAAAGACAATGCAGCATTGTTTGTCGAGTGATAAGTATGTGATCAATCATTTTCAGGGCAAATGATTTTATTTGGTTTTCGGTTGTGCGTTTTGTTTTCTTTACATGACCGCCCACGCGATTCATTCATCGTCAGCTCTCTCTCTCTCTCTCTTTCTCTCTCTCTCTCTCTCTCTCTCCCCCCCCCTCTCTCTCTCTCTCTCTCTCTCGGTGTGTCCAAAAAACAAATATTTATCCCGAATTTTGTTATTGGGAAAAATTCGATCGATTAAACAAATTGTGCAACGAGAAATTGAACGAAACATTGTGATGGAGAAAACAACAACGACAAGTAAAAAAAAATTGAATGTGTCCTTCATAAAACAAGCTTGACAATTGACAGGTGAATAGAGCTGTTGCATAAATTTGATCCGAACTCCGCGGCTAGAACACGAATAATGATAGAATTCTTCTTTCGGTCGAGCCATTCGTTACATTTTCTCTTTTTTTTTCACGTCATTCTCACGCGCAAAAATCACGAAAAAATTTATTTGATGAGTCTTGCTATTTCTGTGTCACAGACCGAAGAATTGCCATCACGCTGTTGTTTTTTTTTATTATCAGCATTGTAAACTGTCACACGCACACTGCTTGTCGTTTCCAATTGACGTCAAACAAATCTTGATGTATGTTAAAAAAATATATTCATTCGATTCATAACCAATAACACGTGCACCATAATGCAATTGAACGCTTTGCCAATCAAATCGATCGCAATCGTAGCATATTGAATGGCATGTAAATACAGTAGAAGAAAATTGTGAGAGAGAGAGAGAGAGAGAGAGAGAGAGAGAGAGTGAATGGGCGAGAAAAAAAGCGTCTTAACGCATGACGCACTCTTATCTTCAACTGTGCTAATGCCATTTAAAGTGTTATTGCCTATTGAAAGTGTTTTCTTTTCTCTCTATCTCTATGATGGTGGGTATAGAAAGATTATCTGGTGCTTTGAGCACTCGATCAAATCGGCGTATGATGAATTTGTCTTCCATTTACTATAGCTATAAGTGGGCAAACGCGATTGAGTTGAAATTAATGAACGACCTCTTTTTTACTATATGAAAAAGAAAGCATTCACCTTTAGTGAGAGAATATAGATCATTTAAAAATGGAAATTTGTGTGAACGCCGTACATGGCAAAACGGGTTAAAGTGGAAAATTGTTGATTTTCATTTTTTTTCTAATCATTTGTACGCGTCTTGCAATAGTTGTGTGTAACAGAGTCAGTAAAACCCTTGAAGTGTTTTGTTGTTGGTTTCACAAATGACACAGTTCAATAGGTCAACAGTAAACCAGGTGTTTGATGTTCATTAAATGGCAAACGATGCGAAATGTTGTTGTTGTTGGTTCGTACCCAACATTTTTGCTCAGGCAAACCGGTTACAGTCACATTTAGATGCAGTTGATGAACGAGCGCGCTCGCACACACACACACACACACACACACGACGCGCGACACTTTAAAACAACAAAAATAATCATTTCAATTTGCCAGCCAGGCAATGAAATTATTCCGATGTCACAACATTTGTGAGCTTCCTAAATCTATACAATGTTGTGCCACTCTGTGCCATTTCATCACATTAAATGATCTAATAATTTGATCAAAATGTTACTGATTTTGTTTTCTCGAACTTGCACGCTCGCTTATTTGTTCGCGCATTTTTCCTTGTGGCCGCATGCCAAACGCAATCATTGCAAATTATGTATATATGTCAAGTGGCACAAAGTAATTTTTCACAAAACTATTCCCATTTAAAAGCTTGGTCAATGACAAAGTAATCATGCACACAGTTCACTGCATCACACTATCAACCTGTGAACAATGGTTGGCGTGAATTGCCACCGGATGCACACTCACGTACAGCGTCGAGAAGAACAATGTTGATCAAAAGTT